CTTTTCTTCTCTTTCCACTCTGTCTGCATATAAATATATTAATGATGTATATATATATATATATATATATATATATATATATATATATATATATATATATATATATATTATACAGAAATTATATATATGTGCACATGAATATATATGTATTTTTTATACATATGAATATAAATATATATATATATATATATATATATATATATATATATATATATATATATATATATATATATATATATATATATATATATATATGGGGAGTATAAGTGCATGTGCGTTTTCATGAATAACTATACATATGAGCAAACATTTACACACAACCATGTGTTTTTCTGACTACATACAAATGTATGTATTTTTGTTGTAAACAGTAAATTTGTTACGCATTGTTTATAAAATGTCACTGTTAAAAAGAAAATAATAAAAGTAACATCTCCTAAAATTGATATATTTGATTTCATTTTAAAACTTGCGTCTAAGTCGAGACGGTTTTTATTAGTATGTCGTGTGGTACCTTTAGTTATTAGTATGTCGTGTGGTACCTTTGTTAATTTGCAAGTTGATATTCTATAACCGCAATTAGAATTCATTTTTGTTTTTTATGGACAGTCATTCTTTTCGGCTATCGTTAAAAAAAGCTAATAATAATTTGGGAACTTCATATTTTTTACAAAGCATTTCTTCATTTTGAATTTATTTTTGAATCTTAGCTGAAGACTTTTATTCATTCTTATATTTCCTTTCATTTTGACAATTTTTATAGACATATTTTTCATTTGTCGGTCTGTTTTATTTACAATACTTTCTATTTTATTTTTTTAGATAACTCATTTTTTATAGTACTTTCTGAACTGTTTGTGAGGATATCTGTTTTCTAAAGTAAATTTACATTTTCATGAGAATTTTTATTTTATCATTTTAATAAATATTTTTTTTTTGTCTTCGGAGAATGGTAAAATAAATTTATGTATCGAGCTTATCATAATCTAGTTCAGATTCATATGAATTGGTTTCAGTAAGATTTGAACTCTTGGACAACTGAAAGAAACTAGACAGAAGACAACGCCTAGAGCGAATTCCTATTCTACACCATGAACCAATTTAAGTTCTGACCATTTCATTAGCGTTAAAAAAAAGAAAGCAAATCACTTACAGACTTGAAAGATCTTAACTGCTGTGAACAAAGTGTAGAATGATTAGAAAGGGAACTACACTTATTTTGAAAATGAAATGAAAAAACTGCTCCACTTAATCGCCACTAATATTTGACATAAAATTGTTCATTAATATATTTGAATCGATTGTTTATTTACAGTCATATTTGTTACAGCGAACAACTGACATTTCTATGGTGGTGAAATTACTTATATCGCTGAAAGATAGTAATCTGCTGTCTACTTACAAGGCTGTAGTATATATATATATATATATATATATATATATATATATATATATATATATATATATATATATATATATATATATATATATATATATACATACATATGCAGCAGTTTGCTCCATTAGCCTTATTTCCCTTGCACGGGAAACGCTATGCGGTAGTGTCGTTGTTATAACAATATAGGACTCTTCCAAGATGTTTAAAGAGCATGAATACTACACCGACACGGTAAAAAGAAAGCCGGTTACAATAATGAAAATTTCAAAATTATATTTAAAGATTTACATGTCAAAACATTATAATATCTATCTATCTATCTATCTATCTATCTATCTATCTATCTATATATATATATATATATATATATATATTCACATTCCCTGAATAGTATACAATATGGCGAATATATAAGGTCTTCAAATGATTGAATATGGTATGGCGAATATTAGAGGTCTTCAAATGACCACACTTAAAAATCTTTGGTTGTGAACCGTCTACGTATACGTGATAAAAACAAAGAACATTAGCATGTAACTATGCACCCATACGCAAGGACACAAATATAATTTCAGGCTTATATTGCCATCCGAGGAAAAGAAATAAAAAACTTAAAAAAAAAAAATCCTTCTGCACTCACTCCCCACATTTACGTTTAGGTAGATTATAGACATAAAAAAGCCTATCGGATTTAAAATAAATGAAATATATATGATTATAAATTATTAAATTTTGATTACAAATCAAAATAATCTTCCAAAAACGAAACGAAACGAAACCATGAAACCGAAATCTTAAAATTATAGCAGCTAAATATTCTAAATATTACTTGACATATTATAAGTGCATCTTATACGGCTGGAATAACACACACACACACACACACACACACACACATATATATATATGTGTGTGTGTGCATAATTTTCAAAAATTCCTCAGCGTTGCGACTGCACGCTCCACAAGTTTATATCCGTTGTCAATAACACACTTCACAAAAACGTATTTCAATTTGCATTATATTTTTTCGTCTCGGATGCGACCTGAACTTTACGAAAAAGAAAATAGTTTCCATGCCTAATAATGACCGGAAAACCTGTCGAAAATGCTTGCATATCTAAGGAAGACCTAATATACAGTTTATAATTTTAGAAAACAAGGATCATAACATTCATCTAGTGATTAGTGGGTTAATGCATTTTGAAAATTTTGTTAGCAAAGGGATTTTATATCATTAACTTTACTAATTTACTTTTTGTATGAATGATTTACTGTAATATAAATTAAACTGCACCACATAATTGACACACACACACACATACACACACAGGGAACATATATATGTGTGTGTGTGTGTTTCCTTGATTCTGAAGAATAAGGTAAATTATATGAGATTTTTGTTCAATTTTTCTAATGTTCTTGCAGTTTTCCTTTTATGGGGACTAAAAAATGTAGAAACTGTCCGTAATGGTCATTGTTTCAAACGCAGATAATTTATGAGTCATTTTCAAGGAATTCGTTGTTAGTATATTTCCTTATGTTTCAGTTCTCAGTTGTATTCAAATTAAAGGACCTAAAAACCTGTACACAATTATCTGCACACATATGAAAATTTTCTTGTAGATAAAACTGTCACACTAGTTGCTTATTTTTTTTAAAGATTGTCATAATATTGAAATACATAATAGAACAATTACAGATTAGATTAATAATTTAACACTTAGTTGATATCAGTAATTAATGTTTTTTTTATGCAATGTGCTGAAAATAAATAATAAATGTGACATCTATTATGAATTCAATAGATTTATCTTATTCTGACAAGCGGGATTATATCTTTGGGAAATATAAGTCATTTGACTATCTCTCTCTCTCTCTCTCTACACACACACACACACACACACGCACACACACGCACACACACACACACACATATATATATGTGTATATATATATATGTATATATAGTTACAAAAAGTTAATCTACAGAACACTACAGTCGAGGTGCTGAATATAACATCAAATTTTATACTTGTATTAAGTCTAATAATCATCTCTCTTTTTTCTCTCTCTCTCTCTCTATATATATATATATATATATATATATATATATATATATATATATATATATAGAGAGAGAGAGAGAGAGAGAGATGTAGTGTTCCGTAGATTAACTTTTTGTAATTGTTCAGTCAACTTTTCAGAAAGTTTCAGTAAGTGAATGACGTTTTTCCTTATCTTTATATTATGTTGTGATGTAGTTAAATCATACACATATATATATATATATATTATAAATTAATTGATTTATAATATGGTTTTTCCGCTACACAGTTCTAACCATGTTTCAAAAATGGAAGGTCCAAATTTAATTTTGTAATTAAATTAAAGACATTAGTTCCATTTCATCCTCGTTTAAATTTTCGAAACATGGTTAGAACTGTGTAGCGGAAAACCATATTATAAGTCAATTAATTTATAATATTAATGCTCTGTAAATTTACATTGAGCACTATTTTGTAAAAATAAAAATATCTATAAGAACACCGGATTATATATCTTATTGTTCTTTCTTTATATATATATATATATATATATATATATATATATATATATATATAAAGATCTAAAATGATAGAAGCCCTAATCATGAAAAATAAAGACAAAAGCTTTAATAACATTAACTACAAACACGTGATAATGCATAATCTTGTTCTGCATTTAAAAACGTGTTACCTTATCAGCAACCGCACACCGTTTGGGGAAAAAAACCCTTGAAAATGGTTAATAGATTAGCCGAAAGTACTTGGAACGAACAATCATTTGCATAAATTCTGCATACATTATGCCCCAAAAGAAATCTCTTGTTCGCGCGCACACACACACACACACACACACACACACACAGCACACACAAAGCACACACAAAGCACAAGAAAATTTTAACAGGAGAAGTGTATCCGTCATTTTCAATTAAACCTGTATTAGAGGAGGATTGCTGCCCAAATTCACAGATATTTATTAGAACCGCATACTTTTATAGGGCTTTGCTTACAGTAATTAGTACAGACTGATTAATTCAACGTTCATCTTTTCAATCAAATATAGTCTAAAGAAATTTATGAATAAAATTTCTAAAATGTTTCTTTAGTCTGGTACAACCTTACAGTATATGGGCAACAAGTAAGGGTCGAACTCACAACACGTGCGATGACTTTTGAGTCAAGCTTTCAAAACTCGGGCTACCTAAGAAAATATCTTGTACAAGACTAGAATCGTTTTCCACCCGCTTATTATTCGCCAGTCATTAGACTAGCGAATAATCTAACTTGATACCCATTTCATTACTATTTGCTCCATGTTCCAAATATTAGAAGGAAGTTCTACTTTTTTTGTTAAGAAGTGCCATTTTTGGCGTGTCGATCATGGAATACTGGCTGATATTTTAATAAAAAAAAGTTCCGTGTGTGCGACCAAAATAATGCATTTCTCTTTTGACAAAAAAAAAAAAATGAGTGTTCAAGGTGATCCGTTGCAAATCGATATGAATGTAATACGAACAAACTCCTTCAGGCAACGTCATGAAATAACTAATCTCAACATAGAAAATGGTGGAACGGTATTATAAAAAGTCTTGAATAGATAGATAGATAGATAGATAGATAGATAGATAGATAGATAGATAGATCTTCCTGATTGCACTTGTTTTCTTATAGTTTGATTTATGCACTATTATATGAATAGTTGTGTCGGTGCAGAATCGGGAGTGACCCCATAAAAGTTTCCCGATAGATGGAGTGATTAAAGCGACGTATAAAAAATTGCAGGTTTCGAATGGATTACAATTTCTAGCGTCACTCTGAAACTTTTCGTGTCAGAAAGTTTTGCCTAAAATCAGAATGTATTTGTGATGTTCATGGGATCAAAATATTGTTTACAACCCCTTAATTGTAGGGTCAATGGGTAGTGTACGAGCTAACTTAGTATTAGAATGTTATTTTTACTGTGCCGTTCATGAAGTAGAACACTGGCCTAGTAGATATGTCACTTGCTTGCAGAGGGTTGAACGAAATATCAAGGCATGATCCACTTTTTAATTTTATATATTTGGCGTATTTGCTTTAGCCTGGCAGAAATTGTGGACAGAGAAACATACACAAAAAAGTTAAACTATATATATATATATATATATATATATATATATATATTAAATATTAAAAATAGCAAGATCAACCACTTACACTACCATAGTTTCAACCATTGAGGTATCGTCAGGCAGTAGAGGTTAATTCATTTCCTAACGCTTTATTTGCTTACTTTATGTGCGCACAGAAGGGGAGCGATGAGGCAAGAGTGAGAAAATAGGATGGGATGGGGAGTGAAAAAAAAATATTATACGTACTTTTATCCGGGTATGTATAAACACAAAATATACTTTATAGTGTGTCTACACACCGACATGACTTCAGACCTTTCATTTAACAGCTTTTCTGAGACTGGATACGTTATTATTACCAACTTTTCCTCCTGCCACAGCCTGCAAACATCACTACCATTACTGTAAGGCTTGGCTCTTCTTAATGTGATCCAGTTTACATTAGCGTTTTTGTTGTTATTTTCCTTTAATTGCCACATATTGTTGGTCACTCTCGTACAATTCCAATTTTTTGAATATTTATATTGTTCATAACCATTTTTGGCTCTCACCCGTCGAGGTGCAACTGAAATGCACCGAAACGAAGTTGCATCTTTGTAGTGAGTAAACTGTTTTCGTCTATATGATAAAATTATAATAAATAATTATCGCTCTACTATCGGTATCGAGCCCTCTTTTGATTAATGCTGTGAATGTTGGAATTTATATATTACTATCGTTCTCATTGCATCGGGTATATATATATATATATATATATATATATATATATATATATATATATATATATATAAACAAAAGATTGTGTTTCCAAAATAACTGTCGACAAGTTTATTTCTGAAAATGTGACCCTATGACTTATTCTAATAAGTTTCTTTTCTCGCACTTCTTGTCTATGAAACTCTCTCCAGGCTTCTTGCTTTACTGCCAACTATTATTTGCAAGAATTTAAATGCAACATCAATTCGTCATCTTCTGCCTCCTTGGATTGGAATCCGTTCTATTATTGTCCTTTTCCCCTCAGTAAATTTTAAGTTTCCTTCACTCTTTCATGCTCATTAACGCCTTCCGTTGTAGTGATTTTATCGTAAGGAGTCTTTCCAATTGCAATACACAATGTCAAGATATCAGAGAGAGAAACAATTATTTTATGATCTCCTTGAACAGTAGATAAAATATTTAAAAATCTCTGTTAAATATTGAATTTTATTAGCTGCTTTCTCTCCCTCTCCCTCCCTCCCCCCTCTCTCTCTCTCTATATATATATATATATATATATATATATATATATATATAACTCCTAATGAGCCAGCTACTACCTACCTTGGATTCACCAAAGGTACTAACTATCTACCTAGGTTTTCTCCACATGGAATCATCAGAGTGAACTAGTTCACCCTAATGATCACATGTGGTGAAACCTAGGTAGATAGTTAGTACCTTTGGTGAATCCAAGGTAGGTAGTAGCTGGCTCATTAGGATTTATTTGTTTTACTTATGCTCTACTTAGCGCATTGAGCACTCTTCGTTTTAACTTATTACTTGCTGTTTTTTTTTTTCATTTGTACCAAAAGTACTGGATAATTTATTTCGCCCTGTTTGGAGGTTTCTGTTTCTTTCTTTATTTTTCCATTTTTCCTCGGATGCCAATTTATTTGAAAATTGTGCTATCCTGTTTTTTTACCCACCGAGTTTAAATAAATTTACATTATATATATATATATATATATATATATATATATATATATATATATATATATATATATATATATTAAATAAATATTAATAAGTATCAATTATTCAATGTGATTTTGGTCTAATATTCAAAGCTTATCGGGATACATTGTGTTTAAATAAATTGCACGATTACATTGGAAATATGAAAATGTGCTCCATTATAAAAATATCAACAGTAAAATAAGCGTGAAGATGGAATAAGTAGCTATTAACAGAAATAAATACAATATGCAATTTTCATAAGGTTTCCGAGCGAATTTGATGTCTCGATTTGAATGCAGTTTCTAGGTTAGTGATATTTCTTTAATATACGCCTAAAATGATGGCACATATTATATATACATATACATATATATATATGTGTGTGTGTGTATGTATGGGGGGGTGTGCGTGTGTGCTCGTGAGGTATGTCTGTATGTAAATTAATATATCTAAAAATAATGTTTCAATAGTTTTCAGTCAAATATGCAAAAGAAGTAGATTCAATGACAAAAAGAGACAGACTATATATATATATATATATATATATATATATATATATATATATATATGCAGCATATCTTCATTCAAAACATGATTGGTTGAATAATGTAGACATTTTATGTCGTGAATTTGAGAGGATTAAAATAAATAATAACATACCCAGATTATGTAAATATATATATATATATATATATATATATATATATATATATATATATATATATATATATATATATATATATATATATATATATATATATATATATATGCTTGTGTGTGTGTGTGCATTTGAAAATTAATTGAGAAGAGTGCCCTATGTCGTGTATATTATGTCGTGTATCTTATGTCGTCTGTTGATTGCTGATATCATGAAACTAACCATCTAGTATAGATTTCACACTATATATATATATATATATATATATATATATATATATATATTAGTGGTCTCTCTCTCTCTCTCTCTCGATATATATATATATATATATATATATATATATATATATATATATATATATATATATATATATATATATATATATATATTTCAAGAGGATAAAATCCATGTAGAGATCTATGCCAAAGACTGGGCAAGAATATAATATAAAAGGCGCAAACGCTAATATTTCATGCTTATAATTTATTACATTGGAATCGTAATTACGACCCAATTCATAAAATTTGCAGCAATTTGTAGGTGTGATGAATTGGGTCGTGATTATACATACATACATACATATATATATATATATATGTGTGTGTGTGTGTGTCTTTGTGCGTGTGTGTGTGTGTGTGTGTCTTTGTGCGTGTGTGTGTGTGTGTTTCTGTTTGCTTGTATATGTGTGTGTTCATTTGTCTCTATTTGTGTGTGGGTGTTCTCTATTAGTATGCTCCAATCTTTTTCCGATATAGATACTGAAAAGTCCTCAGACCGATCTCCCGTACAGTAATCATTCTATGCTTTGGTCACTAAAATACTGATTTGGAGTAGTGAATACGGTGTCCCCTATCTATCTATCTATCTATCTATCTATCTATCTATTCAAGACGTTTTTTGTTATTTAGTTTCCACCATTTTCTATGTTGAGATTTCATACCGTTGAATATGTCCTTACTTAAAACTGTTTGCACTGCCGGGTTTGCATGCTGACATTTTTTGGATCAAATGTGTTTAATATCGCTAATCCGCATCTAACTGTCGGGGCGTGTTTAGAAGAAATGTGTGTATTTCTTTTTAATGTAAATGTTTTTTTAATGTATACCTCTAGTCTGTAAGTTGTGCGTGCGTGTAAACGAGATTACAGCTATATGCCTGTGTGTGTGCCTATATTCTCGCTCTTCTGTATCTGTAGATGTTGGTAAATGTGTTCTGACCACACTGTATTGTTCGTTCCTTACAAGTGCGTACATTCAATCGTATGGATATCCAATTTACCGAGCCGGAAGTGCGTGATGGGTTTGAACAGAAGTAGGAAAATTGAATTGCACCAGTCTTTAAGGCAGGAAATGGGTGGGGGTGATCTGCCTTGAATATCAGCATTTAAAATCCTGAACTTTTATCTGAATTCGGACATGGATTTCTGGAACTGGAAAGAAACATGAGCATAAGATACATTGATATCACCCTCGTTTTTACCTATCACAGCTATATTATTATAATTCTGCTTGCCCTCAATTTAGTTATATAGTTAGCACGTACGTATGTTACGTCCTACCAATACCTCATAAATAATAGACTATTTTGTTTTGATCGCGTGGAAAGACGGAAAAGACATATCAGAGAGACTACTTGATTTCACTGAGGAAAAAAATGAAAGAAGGAAGAGACGTGAAGATAGAAGAAGTTTTAAAACTATCATGTGTATAAATGTCTGTTTCAGTAAAATGGGAAATTTTGTCAATTTCAAACAGTTACATTTGTACCCCCTTACTTCTTTAAATAACGACCAGCATTCATATTTATGATTGTTATTGCAGTATTTTGTTAAAGTTGTTAATCTCAAATATTTAAAGATGCGGTAGGGGAATTTCTATGGATATTTTATTGTCGTAGAACACGCCATGAGCTTATTCAATCATTAACTTAAGAATTAAGTTTCATCAGAAAATGAAAACAGGAAATCGATGATGATTTCATGGGTATTTCTAGTGGGTATTAATGTGTAAATGTTGGAATAAATGGCGTGCGTGTACGTTTAGCTCCAGAAGACGGAAACCTTAGGCAGCGATACAATTAACGGCGATTTATTCAACCCAGGACAGTTCAGTAGGAGAATATTCGTTCGATGATAAGTTGAACGTTGTAACAAATGGGATTGGATAGTTAAGGAAAAATATTTTTGTCAACAGCTGTTTTCAGAAGGGACACACACACACACACACACACACACACACACACACACACACACACACACACACACACACACACACACACACACATTTATATATATAGAATTTATTTTAAATATTCGTTCCAAAAATTCAAGCCTGTCGCCAATGTGTTTTGAGTGGGGGTGGGTTTAATTCGAATTTGCACACTAAAATTAATTCAAATCATTTCCACAGGGTTCCGGGGGGGGCGAATAATTTTCTGGGTGCAAGCCCCCCCCCATCCCTTGGCGACAGTTCTGCAAAGACAGCATGCAGTGAACTTTCAGGCATGTATCTTTTTTGAGTCATATGCTTCAATTTCTATAAACAATTGTCTGTATGCATGTATGTACGTATGTATGTATGTACGTGGGGAGGATTTGCGTATGCGTGTGTATATCTACAATAGTACGTATAAGTCAGACTGAATATTAAATTAAAGATGTAACTTGTTAGTATTAACATTTTAACAGTGAAGAGATTATTCTTCCTGCGTGTGTTGTGCATATGTTTATATTGGTGTACGTGTCGGAGAGTTATATGTATGTGCGGTGTGTGTGTGTGTGTGTGTGTAAATGTGTGTTTGTGTACTTGCGCGCGCCCGCGTGTGCTTTTTTTTATGATCAAGCTGTCTTTCTACCCCAGATGACGACTGTTGGAGTGTGTGACAGAACTGATATTGCGTGGCTGTGAAATGGTGGGCTGGGGCCCGTGACAGTCGTGCTGTGAGAGGGCGGGGCCCGGGCCAAGAGGCGTGACGTCCGATGATGAGGGGAATCAATGGTGGCGTTCGGCAGGGAAGACTAAAAAAAAAAAGTCGAAGCGAGTTGGAATTAAAAGGATGTTAACTTGTTTTATTGCGTTGTAGTCGAACTGGTTGGTGAGGGCGGGGTGGTAGAGAAGCGGGGAGAGAGAGAGAGAGAGAGAGAGAGAGATAGAGAAATTCAAGAGAGCGGTAGAAAAGGAAAGGAAAGGGAAAAACTGTGGGATTCAGACGAGAAAAGAAAGAGAAAGAGAAATAAAAGCAAAAGAAGAAAGTATTGTAGAAATAAAAAAAATGGGAAGGGTTATGTAAATATTTGAAAAAGTATAAGAAAAAGATGAAGAAATTATGAGTACAAGGATGAAAAAAGGGAATGAAAAATTGAAGAAATTAAAAAAAGAAATTAAAGAGGAAACTGAAGGAGAAAATGAAGAAGAAAAATTAAATAGGAATTGGAAAATAAACATAAAACATTTAATCAGTAAATAAAATAAAAATTTTCAATAGGAGTAGATAGGTTCGCCTATCGCCCGGTTCACACTCTTCCTTGGTCTTTTGAACAGGAGTAGAGGTTTATCTCTTTTTTCATGTTTGGGTTTCCGGGTCCTTCTAAAGGTTACTCTGTATTCTTAACGTTTGTTCTTTCCAATGCTAATATAAATCCACCTTAATTGGCTCTTGGGTGAACATTAATAAAAAAAAAAAAAAAAAAAAAACAAATTGTCTACACTTTGTGTTATTGAATATACTTTGAAAATATCAATGGATGGGAAAAAGAACCAGTTGAAGTTAGTTTAGTGAATTAATTAAACGTATTTCTTCAGAAATAAAAGCAAGAAAAAGAATCGAATTTTTATTCTTTTTCAAGTGGGGTTAGAGGAGAAAACAAAATTGAAACGTCTGTGGGGCGACAAGGGAAAAAATATGGAAATCTAAGAACAGTTTAATATTAATCCTCCGAAAGAATGTCAATCAAATTGGTTTGTCATTTTTTGAAGCTTGTAGTGGATGACCCGTAAGAAATGGAAATGGAAACAGGTAAAATTGGAACAAAATTATAAATAAAGGAAAAAAAAAAGTGTGAATAATGGAAATTTACACACGAATTATTTATAGGAACGTACTAAAAAAATAAAATAAAATAAAACAAGGAAAAATTTAAAAAAATTAAGTTCATAAAAGCTGTTGAAATAAAGTTAGGTAAGTTTAAAAAAACGGTTAAAGCGAAAAATATTTCAAAATAAAATTTATGTAAAAGCTTGAAAGATTAAAAAGGAATAATAAAAAAAGTAGAATCATTTCGAAAGAAAAGAAAAGGATAGAAAAAATGATTCTAAGTCTGTGGAAAATTACGAAATATTAGACAGGCTAAAAGAAAGAAAGAAAGAAAGAAAGAAAGAAAGAAAGAAAGAAAGAAAGAAGGGAGAGTATACGAGATTGAGGTAGCAAAAGGTTTTATTGTGGAGAGTCGGTTGGCCTTTCTCTCCTCATTGGGTCTTCGACATCAGAAGCAACGAGGAGCCTTAGTACAGCTCAGCACGAATTGCGACGATACAGTAGTTACCGGCTACTAATACTACAACTATTATAATTATTACTGCAACTAAAGGTTTTTAAGCGCACACGTATACACATATATACACACCGTTTACCTTCTGTTAAATATCGCGGCTATTTCTGTTGATCTAATATTCTATCCATTGTGTGTTATCACCACAGAGGGAAACTGCGTGACAACCGACTTACGTAGATACATCAATACACCGTGAAAGTGCACATTCGCATACGTACACGTCGTTATCAGTACATGTATACAGCCAGCGGTTGTTTTGGCATACGGTCAGAGAAAAAAGTATACTTACCTACATAAATAAATACATATATTTGTCAAGTAAAAAAAAAAAGAAAGAAAGAAAAAAAAGAAAAGAAAAAAATACACTCTCAAATCAATTTATAAAACACGCACGTTGTGAAGCTTAACACATACACCCGCACACACCCCACTCGAGAGGAAGGAAAATCGTCACGAGTATACCTGCCTGTATTTGTTTTCTTTTTCATATTACCGTAGTTTTATTAATTATATCATTACTTTTTCTCGCCATTCTTTTACCATTGCAACCATAAAAAGCTTCTCTAACGACCAAGTCTGAAATTGACAAGGATGTGCCGACCGCTGTAGATACAACACCTACTATGGCTGCAACGGTTGTAGGGGTAAGTAATAATGTATAGAATTATATATATATATATATATATATATATATATATATATATATATATATATATATGGTGATGTTTAATATACATATATTTTTCTTATTCAGTTCTATTTATCATTGATGTTCGAGTAAACAATGCTTCATTCTATGTGCTTCATACTAACAACAAATCTATTCAGCACAAAAATACCAAATCATTACATACACACACACACGCTCACAAATAGATAGATAGATTTCGACATGTGTGCATTGTAGTATTTTTAACGCAGGAAAAGATGTTCAGGTATACATTTTCAGTACATAAGTATTTACAAATAAATAAATGAATAAACAAAAGGTATGTGTTCAGCAGATAGATAGATAGATAGATAGATAGATAGATAGATAGATAGATAGATAGATAATTAAGTTTGTACTTTTGTGAGAAAAGGGCAGTTGACATTTCCTAAGCGTTTTAAATGAATTTGACATTTAAATTAAATATTGACTCTCACTCAGGTGTATTTATGAATTTGTCAATTTTGCTGTAACTGTTGTCTGTTTTGTCGTTGTCAAGTTATTTGTTCAGGGAAACAACGCGGATCGATTTCCTTTTCCTGTGTGTAAATATATGGCTCTACCCTAAAAAGCTGATACAGATATAGAGACGATAAGTGTTTATGTGTTAATTTGAAAACATAACATATTTTATTTATTTAGAGTTTATGTGAAAATTACCCACAGAAACGCAGAGGCGTAAAATAGTGCATAGGTATAAACAGTCCTGTGTATGTAAGTTGATATGGCATATACAATCTGAGAGATTTGTATGAAATTACTAGTGTGTGTGTGTGTGTGTGTGTGTGTGTGTGTGTGTGTGTGTGTGTGTGCATTCTGCTTACGATTAGTCATTAAGCAATTAAATAGTAGACTGTGAAACAGGACAGTGATAGCTAGGGAGACGTTAAGCAGCACACACACACACACTCACATACACACACACACACAAACAAGAAGAAGAAGAAGAAGAAGAAGAAGAAGAAGAAGAAGGCCAACAACAACAATAAAATATAAAATTTAAAAAAAGAAAAAAAGGGTGTTGTCCAAATAATATTAAAATAGCTTCATTATATTTGAAAAGCTCAGCTAGGAGATCGTCCAAAAAGAAAAAAAAAACCTAACGTGATTCACAAAAGCCATGATTCTAAACTCATTTCTTTCTGGACAACTTCTCTTTTTCTCCCCCCCCCTCTCTCACTCTCACACACAGTGTCTTTTTCTCGTTCACTCTCTTTCTCTTCCACTCTTTCCCCTCTTCTCTCTCTGTAACATTTTATGAGCAGTAGGTGAACAACCACGCGTAGATTTGTTTTTTAACAAAATATCCTGGATCAGATTTTTGAGTTTTCTATTACCCTAGAGAGTCTGCGAGTAGAATGTCCAACATGCTCAACTGCAGAATTCCATTGCAAAAATTCAGTTCCTCACACTTAACATTCTTTTATATTATCATTGTAATCGAACAGTATTCAACGTGATAGCATAAAACCTAGAATTTATTTTAAATTATATTATTAGAACGTATTAACTCAGTTAATTATATAACATTTAAAACAAAATAATGTCGTTTTATGGCAATAACTATTTTCAGCCTACAAAACATTTGCATTCACTCAAATGAAATAACGAACTTTACACTATCATAATGATTATATTGAAATAATAATAATAATAGTAATAATGATAGTAATAATGATAATAATAAAAGTAATAATAATTAACGCGACAATTTATTGCGTAATGCTTTCCATGTGGGCTTTGTAGCAGTGAATATTGGTTTCTATTGGTTTCTAAATGACTGCTAAATTTTGCACAAACTATTTTTTTTATT